GTATTTTTGATCAAATAAATGCAGCCTTGATGAGCATAAGAGATTCCTGTAAAAAAACATAAAAAATCGCTCTGTTCCCAAACTTTTGAACGGCAGTGTGTATATATAAATGTAATGTATGTATACAGGGCTCGACATTAATGCTTGTCTGCTTGTTCAGGACAGTGGATTTTGTGAAGGGGCAAGTGAAAGAGAGTTTTAATTGCCCGACTGGACAAGGAACCTGATTAAAACGTCAATAACAAACAATAACTAGGGCAGCACCGAAACTTTGGCGAGAATGATTCTGATTTTATTACTTTCAGTGTAAACAGTGATTGATAACGGATGATGTATTGACAGTATTGAGGCTCGCGCAGACTGTCTGACTCACGGAGAAATCAGAACTAATAAGCGCAACAGCACACACAAAGAAACAAAGAGGAACAGACATACAGCGGTAGAAATATATATTATATATATACAGTGGGTACGGAAAGTATTCAGACCCCCTTAAATTTTTCACTCTTTGTTATATTGCAGCTATTATATCTATATAATATATGATACAGGTAAGCAACATCACAGACCAAGAGTGATGTTTTCCCGACTATCAGCACGATTGTAAATGTGCCATTGATTTTATACAACAGTAGTTCAATAAACAAGTAGTTAATATTAACTGACTTACATTTTAGACACATTATTGACCGTTTTTGCTAACGAAATAGTTCTAAGCAGAACAGTCGCGCATCTCTGAGCAACACACAACAATGTTTCCTTACTGAATTATTCAGCATTTTTGAACGAATCGAGTGAGTCAATGATTCACTGAGCCGTTCATAAAGACTTGCTTAATTTATTGAATGAATCAGCCATTTGAACGAATCGGTTGAATCAATGACTCAATCATTAAGACCTACTAGTGCTTTGGATTCATATTTAAAAGTATCATTGCATTTTTCCAACATTTCATATTTGTATGTTAAAAAAAGTAAAACATTAATCTTGTAACATTATTTATGCATTTGCAATTTTACTGTGTAAATGCATTTATGGAACCTCTTATTTTCATTAAACACCGAGTAAATACATCTAAATGGCACTTTTGATGAAGCTTCTGTGTTTCCTCTGCAGTGGAAAGATGTAGTTTGTTGACAGTGTCTTATTATTCTAACTGAATGTGTTGATAAAATTTAAGAATTTGACGTAAATTATGACACGTGCATTTAACAAGGTTAGGAAAATATTGCCCTTCATAAAGTTTTTTACAAATATGCTGATTAAAGTAAGACTTGATAGAGCACTGATGAGACTATTACTCGGACAAGTGAATGACTGATTTACTTGTCCGAAGGATGAACACATGTCAAGGCTAAATGTCGAGTCCATTTTATATATAATAATAATAACAATTATTATTATTATTATTTTTAAATTAACAAAAACTTCTTTTAAATCATATTTGGTAACAAACATGTTAATATTGTTAACCAGTATTGGGCTCGTTACTTCAAAAATGTAATTTATTACTTGTTACTAGTTACTCCTTTCAAAAGTATTATTATTACTTTACATATTACTTTCTGGCAACAGTAATTAATTACACTACTAGTTACATTACTTTTCCTTCACGCCCCACAGAAGTTGTAATTGTGTTTCTTCCCCATAAAATTCTTCTAAAATGTTACTAACAATATATTTCTGCCTCATCATTTGACCAAAATCTACAGTGTATCGCAGTCAGAAGTTTTTACAAACACTCAATGGTGACTGATAGTGACTTTTAATTAAAAGTGTTGTATTTATGGTCATGTGTAGCTTGAAGCTAATTGTAGCTATGATTTCTCTGTTACCCATTTATAATTATATATCTTGAAGTATTTTATCAAAAGAAATCACATAAGTTCATAAGATTTTTAATTGTAGTAATATAATTTATATCGGGATCGGAGGGATGTGGGATGTAATGCCAGAGTAAAGTAATGCCACAACACAACCTTTTCTCCTGACAAAATCAGTGTAATGCAAATATTTCCATCCCCTGAATGTAAGCTTTTCCATATTCCAAGCTTTCCTGATGCACTGGTGACTTCATGTGTGTGCGCGAGTCGTGAAAATTATGAAAATAAATCTAGGAATTATTGGATTTCAAATCAGTAGGGGTTGAGGCATCAAAAGTAACTAAGTAACTAGCATGTAAGCTTTTCCATATTCCAAGCTTTCCTGATGCACTGGTGATCATGTGCCTGTGCGAGTCGTGAAAATTTTGAAAATAAATCTAGGAATTGTTGGATTTCAAATCAGTATGGGTTGAGGCATCAAATGTAACTAAGTAATGAGCTGTTTTATGGATGGTAACTGTAATCTTAATAGTAATTAGTTACACTACTAGTTACTGCAAAAAGTAATATTATTACTGTAACTAGTTTCTAGTAACTAGTTACTGCCCAACACTGTTGTGAACCATATTAAAATGGATATTAAAAAATAAGAAACATTTGGAATGCTCACTTGAATCTTTGTTGATGTTAGTATGTTGCTAAACATACAGTAAAAAGAGCTTTTTACAGTGTGTTGTGGGATTGCCTTCTCCATGAAGGATATGCGATTCTGTGTTAAAATTTGCTTGAACATTTGGCCGTAACAAGGTGTCAGAGAAGGAATAATCCATAATGTTACGGTGGTTTGGAGCTGCTTGTTTGTGTTAAACACACCTATGATGTCTTAAAATGCTGTCTATGTAGGTTTTGAAGCAGAGCTCTAGTGTTCGAGCTCGTATGTTTAACGGATGAGGGTTTATCAGGCCTCTCAAGCAGAAGCTGATAATGACATTGGAAAAACAAACAGAGGCTGAACACTTGCATAATTTCCCATATGGCCCTGCAGCAGAGTCAACATGATGCTTCTGTGCCTTGTGCACTTAATGACCAGTGTCTCCTAAATAGTGCAGAACGGTTTTCAGATATTTTTTAGCAATTTGTTCTCTAGATCATCTCGACTAATGAGGCCAGGAGACGCTGAGTTGAGATCTGATCTGATTTACAGACATGCTGCTGTCCAATGAAGAAAAGAGCAAAGCTCCGCCCATGTTCCTCTGCTTTAAGGTGGGGAAACCAATGAGGAAGTCCTTCGCCACTGGTCGGACGTCTAGCCCCGCCCACTCGTACATTGGCAGAGGGCGGCAGCCGGAATATTGGTTTGCTGTGCCTCAAGAGAGGTACGGATGGGCTCCTCAATATGTGAATGGGTTTAATATGAGAGAGTACGCTTCTAAACAAACCTTTCTGCCATTTCTCCAAAGAGTGGACCAACTGTACTCGTTCTTCATCCAGTGGTCTCCAGACACTTATGGGAAAGACGCTCAGGAGCAGGGCTTTGTGGTCGTGGAGAAAGATGAGCTCACCATGATCGACAACTTCTTCAGTGACCCGGTTCCTCGCAGCTGGGAGGTAAGGAGCATGCGACTCCAGGACACTTGGGAGAAACCGCTAAAAGAATATGATAAATATGAGGGCTTGGTTTGTTCTTTGTCATCAGATCATCACGATTAATGAGGCCAAGAGACGCCAGAGCTTCAGCTTCGAGGATGAGGAACCTCTAGAGCTTCTTCCTGTTCTGATGGACGCCAGTGCTCTTCTGGAGGACACGCACATTGAGAAGGTCTCCATTGTTTGCTACTTTAAAGGGACAGTTCACCCGAAAAATTAAAATGTGCTGTTCATTTACTCATTCAAGATGTAGGGGACTGTTTTATCTTCAGTAGAACAGTAAAGAAGATTTTTAGCTGAAATCGTGCTCCTTGGTGATTCATAAAATGCAATGGCTACCGGTTTTTGAGAATAAAAAAAAGCATATCAAGGAAAACAAAATTAATACCCGTGACTCCTGAAGATATATTGAGGTCTTATGAAGCGAAACGATCAATCTGTGAAAGAAACTGGACATTATTTACACTTTATTATCTTTAATCCAGAGCCTCAGGCAAACGAGTGAACCGATTCTTTTCTGAAGACCTGGTTCTTTCGGACAGTTTGTTTCAATGAACTGGTTCAGTTCACTAGTTTGTGAATGACGTAATATATACGCAATTATATTATTAAACCACCCAATAATGATGTGAAACGTGGATGTTTTACGGCTCATCGGTCTTCGGTCCGAGTCGAACTGTTTCCTCGGTTCAGTGACTGTTGGAGGAACTGGAGCGATGAATCAGTTCATTCATCATTGAATCAGATACGCAGCTATTTTTGCTCATTTGGAGTCGGAGTGACTGTCAGGCGTCTGAAAGTGAGTTTTGATTGAGTAACTTGTAGATCTGTGCTGCTCGAGCTGACTGTTGCAGGCGATTCAGTCCTATTTGATTTACTGGTTCAACTAGTTCACTAAAAAGAATCGATTCAAAATAATGATTCATTTGTGAACCAGACATCACTCTGGACCGTTTGCCTGAGGCTCTGGAGGCTCTACAGGTAATAATGTTGTAAATAATGTTCAGTTTCTTGCACAGACCGATCGTTTCGCTTCATAAGACCTCAATATATTGTCAGGAGCCACAGGGATTCATTTTGTGTTCCTTGATAAGCTTTTTTTTTTATTCTCAAAAACCGGTAGCCATTGGCTTGCATTTTATGAATCACCAATGACCATGGTTTCAGCAAAAATCTTCTTTACTGTTTTACTAAAGGAAAAAACTCACCTACATCTTGGATGGCCTGAGGGTGAGTAAATTAACAGCAAATTATAATTTTTGGGTAAACTATTCCTCTAACAACTTTTGGCCAACAACTGTTAAGGTCCATTGGGATTTGTTTGGGATTGTGATATTTTAAGTGGTGGTGATTGTGATTTGCTTGACACTCTCCTCTGCAGTTGTCCACTCGTTTGCCGGCCCGTGTTCAGGGCTATCCGTGGCGTCTGGTCTACAGTACAGTGGTACACGGTACCAGCCTGAAAACCCTGTACAGGAACCTACTGGAACTGGACTGCCCTGTGCTGATGGTCATCAAAGACATGGACAATCAGGTACATGCACTACTGTGACCGCTGTTGGTGTACAACTGATGAAACTGGTGTTGCCATGTTAAAAAACCTTGTTGTTTTCTCCTGCAGATTTTTGGAGCGTTTTCCACTCACCCTTTCCGAGTGAGTGAGCACTGTTATGGTACAGGAGAGACCTTCCTCTACAGCTTCTGCCCAGAGATCAAGGTGTGTTTCTGACCTACATAGACTTTAGGGGACAAAATTGCTGTAAAATGTCCTTGCAAACGCCCTAGCAACCACTCAGAAAACATTTACAACCGCAAGATAATGCCTTATCAACCACTCAGAAGTCTTGACAACTGCTTAACCTTAGAAACCACTTAGAGAACATTGGCAATCACATAGCAACGCCTTGGCAACCACTCAGAACATCTTAGAAACTGCTTGGCAACATCCTGGCAACCAGTCAGAACACTGCTGTAATCGCCTGGCAACCACCAAGAATACCTTAGCAACTGCCTAGCAACACCTTAGAAACCACTTAGAGAACATTGTCGACCACATAGCAACGCCTTGTCAACCACTCAGAACATTTTAGCAACTGCTTGGCAATTTCACGGCAACCAGTCAGAACACAGCTGCCTAGCAACAGCTTAGAAACCACTTAGAGAACATTGGCAACCACACAGTCTTAACAACCACTCAGAATATCTCAGTAACTGCTTGCCAATGTCCTGTCAACCAATCAGAACACCTTTGCAACCGCCAGGCAGCCACCCAGAACACCTTAGCAACTGCCTAGCAACACCCTAGAAACCACTTAGAGAACACTGGCAATCACGTAGCAACGCTTTGGCAACCACTCAGAACATCTTAGCAACTGCTTGGCAGTGTCCCGGCAACCAATCAGAACACAGCTGTAATCGCCCGGCAACCACCGAGAATACCTTAGCAACTGCCTAGCAACACCTTAGAAACCACTTAGAGAACATTGGCAATCATGTAGCAATGCTTTGGAAACCACTCAGAACATCTTAACAACTGCTTGCCAATGTCCTGTCAACCAATCAGAACACCTTTGCAACAACCCAGAACACCTTAGCAGCTGCCTAGCAACACCCTAGAACCCACTCAGAAACATTGGCAATCACGTAGCAACGCTTTGGCAACCACTCAGAACATCTTAGCAACTGCTTGGCAATGTCCCAGCAACCAATCAGAACACAGCTGTAATTGCCAGGTGACCACCCAGAATACCTTAGCAACTGCCTAGCAACAACCTAGCAACCACTCACAACATAGTCCTGGCAACCAGTCAGAACACCTTAGCAACTGCCTGACAACACCCTAGAAACCACTTGGAGAACATTGGCAACCACACTGTCTTAACAACCACTCAGAATATCTCAGCAACTGCTTGCCAATGTCCTGTCAACCAATCAGAACACAGCTGTAATTGCCAGGCAACCACTGAGAATACCTTAACAACTGCCTAGCAACACCTTAGAAACCATTTAGAGAACATTGGCAATCATGTAGCAATGCTTTGGCAACCAATCAGAATATCTCAGCAACTGCTTGCCAATGTCCTGTCAACCAATCAGAACACAGCTGTAATCGCCAGGCAACCACCAAGAATACCTTAGCAACGGCTTAGCGACACCTTAGAAACCACTTAGAGAACATTGGCAATCATGTAGCAATGCTTTGGCAACCAATCAGAACATCTTAGCAACTGCTTGGCAGTGTCCCAGCAACTATTCAAAACATAGTCCTGGCAACCAGTCAGAACACCTTAGCAACTGCCTGGCAACACCTAGAAACATTGGCAATCATACAGTCTTAACAACCACTCAGAATATCTCAGCAACTGCTTGCCAATATCTTGTCAACCAATCAGAACACCATTGCAACCGCCAGGCAACCACCCAGAACATATTAGCAACTGCCTAGCAACACCCTAGAAACCATTTAGAGATCATTTGCAACCACATAGCAATGCCTTGGCAGCCACTCAGAACATCTTAGCAACTGCTTGGCAATGTTCTGGCAACCAATATGAACACCTTTACAACCAACAGACAACCACCCAGAATATTTTAGCAACTGCCTAGTAACTCCCTAGAAATTACTTAGAGGACTATAGCAACCTTTATGTAATGCCCTAGTAACCATTTAGAAAATGTTAGCAACTGCGTAGTACCCAGCAACTCACCAGAGCTTGAATCTTGAATCAACCAAAAGGTCCCTAGCAAAAAATTATCAACACACTGGTCAAAAATTAAAAATCTCGCTTTGTCGCACCACAATTGATCGCGCGCGGTGCGAGTAGCTCCATAGGGATCTATTGTTTTGATTCAGGAACGTCATCGCGTCGTACATTCGCATCACTTAATCGTGCTCAGTGTGCAAGGCCCTTAAACCTATTCAATCTTTAAATCTCTGTTCAAATTAAGTATTCAAACCTCATGAGGGCTCAGTACCTTCAAGTGACAGTTATATGTTTGTCTTTAGGTTAATTGAATTCACGTTTATTTGCATAGCGCTTTTCACGATACACATTGTTGCAAAGCAGCTTCACAGAAAATCAATGTTTAGTTAATGACGCTCAATGTCTTCAGGTTTACCGCTGGACGGGTGAAAACTCATACTTTGTGAAAGGAAACACAGATTCCCTTCAGATCGGTGGAGGAGGGTAAGTTCAGAAACATGCTAACGTGCCGTACATTCAGGTCTCGCTGCTGCGTGTTTAACGCTCAACTGTCTGTTTCCCAGGGGTCGTCTGGGCCTGTGGCTGGATGCCGACCTTTACCACGGCACTACGTCCAAATGCTCCACCTTCAACAACCTGCCACTGTCCTCCAAACAGGACTTTGCCATCCAAAATCTGGAGGTGTGGGCCTTCGAATGAGCGCCTGCGTCGCACGCAAACGTCCACACACTAACGTACCCATGCGCACCAAGAGACGCCACGCCACGCTCACAGCATGATGACATACAAAGAACCTACTTGACGCTTTATTCCCGTACTGTACGAGGCTGTTCGTGTGAATCCAGTCCTACTTGACCACGTGGTTTTACTTGGTTTCTCCTAGCCTGAGCCTAGTTTCCTAGTCTGACTAGAGCGCACAGAGAGAAGTTTGTGGCAGCGATGCCACCCACAGCTATCCCAGCATGCAGTATTCTCTATAGAGATGTTCTCCTGCTGAAATATAACCAATATATAAACACATATGTGTACGTGAACGGTAAGGGCTGTGTATGATATTTGGGAAGCGTTCAAAGCCGAAAACATATACGGTGGCCAAATATGTTGCTTCAAGCCATTTTCTCGAATCGTATTCTTGGTTTACATCGTGGTGATTTGATGCATTTAGTTGGTGTATTTTCACGTTCGTTTGATGAGTGCGCAAGTAAATGCAAATATGTCCACGAATTGGTTTTGTTGACCAAAGCATTTTATTTGCCTTGTTCTCCAATGTTTTATATTTCGTTTTTTTTCTTTTTCTATTTGAGTGTTTTTTTTTTATTGGACGTGACATAATCATATTCCTACGTGACAAGTTTTACTTGTTTTACTGTTTTGTGAAATTTTAGGGACCTTTTCTAGTTCATTTGAAAGGGAAGCACTTGAAATGATGCCAGTATTACTCGTGAACACTATGGTAATCGCACGCCTGATTTCATTAACCGAGTTGCATCAGTTTCTGGCAAATCAGGTTCACCACTTCACTGTGGGTTTGTGTATGCAATCACTGACTGATGTCACTTCCTGTTATGCGGTAGCACGACTGTATAAGGAAAGTGTGAAAAGATGCACGGTGCAAAGTTCGTTCTTGCTGTTGGAGGCTTGATCGGTTGCACAGCTCTTTGAAAGCATCCACTCATTTCACTACGAGACCACTTCAGTGGGCATTAACTAACTGTGTCCATTCCAAATCCGCATTACATGGTCCATTAGGAAAAAAAAAAGTTTACAAGTGTTTCAAAGTGTCTCTGATTTCAAACACTGTCCAGTTGTGTATGGTAACCAGTGAATGTCATATTTATTGTGTATTTCTGTGTTTTAAAGTGAACCAAATAAATGCAATAAATGAAGAGGTAAATGACTCATGTTTCATTGATTGAATATAATTGAATGCAAATATTTGTTATTTTAATACTTCTTAACAATTTACAATAAGCACTTATTTGTCAACATTAGTTATTTTTTACAGCATTTATTAACCTTTGTTAGAAATAAAATTGTGTATTGTTTATTTGATTGTAAAGTAGTTCCTGAAATGTTTCACATACTTTTTTTTTTAAATGGTAGGTCCAGTTTACAGTAAATGTTGTGCAATATATGTGGATATTTTATTCCAAACATAGAAACAAATACATTCATTTTAAACAGATTTTGTCCCTGAGATGCTGTTGGATCACAGTTTTACAGCATAAACACAATACAAGCAGAGAAAGTAAAATATAAAGCACAAAAATATAAAAGTTAATCAGTCAGCCATGGAAATATTTCTTAAGTTTTCATAATTTTTGAAAGAAAAAAAAATCATTTTTTTATATATTATAATTTTTAACACACACACACACACACATATATATATATATATATGCATATATATATAAAAAAAAAATATATATATATGACTTTACAATAAAAAGAAAATTATTGTGTGTATGTGTATATATATATATATATATATTTATAATAAAATATTTCTGCAATATTTTTTTCCTTTTTTAATTAAAATTTATATTTACTTATTGATTGATTGATAGGTTTTCACACTCTGTATTAATGCATTAAGTTGCTAGATGGCTTGGCAACAGTAAACAGCCTATACATAGATTTCGGGTTATTAATATTATTAACTATATATTAAAAATTGGTGTCTTAATGTCTTGTAACTGTTTTGGGGTCACTCTTGTATGAAGTTGCCGTGCGTCTGATGTCCGCTGATGACAGGATTATCTTGGTGGGCGGGGTAAACCTGCTCAGGGGTCAGAGGACAAAGTTCATGGGTGCTCCTCATGTAGTTCACACCGCCCTGCTGGAGGAGGAGCAGCAGCTGACGGACGAACAGCGGCTCCACCTGTAGGACAGGAGAAGTGACAGCCGTGTTTAGTCATGTGGAGGCGACTGTTGCGTGTCAGAGCAGATGGAGAGGTCAAAGGTCGTTACCTGGACCGTCAGGGGTCTGTTGTCTGCGGAAGGGTCGCAGCACTCAAAAAACAGCTGCACGTGGAAACGCGGAGGAGGACGAGCGTGCAGGAAATAACCCTGGAGCTCTGCAGGAATTAATGCATATAAACTTAAAGGGTTAGTACACCCAAAAATGAAGATTCTGTCATCATGTACTCACCCTCATGTTGTTCCAAACCCCTAAGACTTTTGTTCATCTTTTGAACACAAATATATTTCTGTCATGACAACTCTCGGAGGGATTGGCATGGTATTTTTTAATTATTTTTTTTCTATACATGTATACTAATTTCTCTATATTCATAAATTAAATAGAATAAATAAATTATCTATATATTAATTTTAATTATATATATATGTGTGTGTGTGTGTGTTATTTATTTATTGCTATTCATCTGTCTATCTTTCTAGTAATAAATAAATGTATATTTAATAAATAGTTACATATACACATATATATATATACACCTCTTTTGAAATAATTTAATTGTTTTTTATATACATACAGTGGGTATAGAAAAGAATCAGTAGGTATGATAGATACTGTATGTATGTGTATATATGTGTGTGTGTGTGTGTGTATAATTTAAATTTATTTATTATTATCTATCTAGTAATAAATATATAAATAAATGTAACCTATATTTAATAAATAATTACATATATTAAAAAAAGTATATATACCTTTTTTGAAATTATTTGTATTTAATTTTTTTTATTAATTTTTATTTCTATACATACTAATTTCTCTATATCTATCTGTCTGTCTGTCTATCTAATTTAATTATTACTATACATAAATGTATATTTAATCAATTATTACATATATTACAATATATATATATACAATATATAAACCTCTTTTGAAATGAGTTGTAATTGAATTAAACATTTTATTCTTTTTTTTTGTTCTTTTTTATTATTTATATACACATTTTTATATATTTATAAATTGCATAGAATACATTTTTCAGAAATTATTCATTTTTTATTTATGTAAATGAGTATATACATGCAATATCTGCATTATGTCATTAAATTAATTTCATATTTAAATGTGATATTTATATTTATGTGTATAAATGTGATTGTGTGTTCACCTCTTTTGGTTCCCTCGGGAATAACGCGGTAAACTTTAAAAGGCTCTGATACGTCCAGCTGGCTTCGGCCCACGAGCTCCTCGAAGTCGCTGCTCTTGTTCAAGGCGCACCTGAGCCGGGTTTTCCAGGTGGGAGGATCCGGTTTATCTATTCCCTCGCGATACTTGCCCTTAAACAGAGCCCAGGCCTGTTCAATAAACCAGACATCATTAACAACTCATTAACATAAATTATTCAGAACAGATCTCATTTGCAAAAACATATGAATATACAGCAGCCCTAAAAGTGTTTACACACCTGAAAATGTCTGAATGCCAATGCATTATAAAATGCATGGATATAAACTATTAAAAACAACTGGCATTTATTGCAAATAAATAAATCAATGTACAAACACACTTTACAATCAAAACATTTAACATAATATTCATGCATACAGTTTGAAATGATTATAAACACTTAGTGTGACTAATTTACATTAGCAAAATGTGCTTCATATTTCATTATTTTGTTGCATGCAAATGCAATGTATTATTGTTGTGTATTAATACTGATTATTACTTTTTAAATGCACCTATATTACTATATATATATTGCCTATATTGCAGCTATTATATAACATGCACACCTTGAAGAGCGCGGCGTCCTCGTCTCTGTTGTAGTCCTGCTTCCCTGCGTGTTTCCACGGGATGCGGAAGACGGTCCGCTCTCGATCCTCCCAAACTAAGCCGGGATATTTCCCAGCGTCCACCTGCTCGATCAGCCACTGACGCAACTTCCCATTCCCGGAGCTTCCCGACATCCTCAGGTTGACAAGTCAAAGCGTGGGGATATAGTCTAAACAGCGCAGTAATGCAAATAACGGGAGCTGAGAAGGCGGCTGTGTCTTCAGCAGAGGCTGCTGAGAATTTGGTTTTGATTTCTCATGTAGTTGAGTTTTCAGATGAGATTTTTCATAATTATTTGCCTTTTTATGGGAGGAGCAACAGATGCCAAGCTCAAAGTCATGAAATTTCACACACGCGCACACTCACACACACTCTCTCTCTCTCACACACACACTCACACACACACACACACACACACACACACAGACTGAGTTAGACCTATCGGACTGCGCCATCTAGAGTTTCATGCCAGAACTCTGTATATATTTTTAATGAAACCTGATAGATTTCTGTCCCTCCATTGACAGTCTATGCAATTATCGCCAGTGTTGCCAAGTCCACGGCTTTTACCGCAGAATTGGGTTACTTTTTCACTGTTGCCACAAGTTGCTTTTTAGTCTGCAGGTTAAAGCGATCTCCAACCCCTGGAATGCTATTTTGACGGAGGGGACCCCGGACAGAGCAGAAAACTGTGGGGAGAAAATGCGACTGGGCTAGCTTTGATTTTGATTCACAGACCTGGCGACCCAGTCTACCACTTTGACGGTTCAAAAAGTTCATAAAGAGATCGTAAAACCAATCCATATGAATTTAGCGCTTTAGTCCAAATTTTCTGACGAGACTCAATCGCTTTATATGATGAACAGATTTAATTTAGGCTTTTATTCACATATTTATATTGATCAGAGAACATGAACAGAAGCTCAACCGTTCTTGCTTGACGCTCAAGAAAAAACTCATTGGTTCTTACAGAAGCTTAACATGCTGCGTAACACACAAGGATGAACCTCATTGGTTCTCACACGTCAAGCAAGCATGCTTGAGCTTCCATTTGCCATAACTGATGTTTGCGTTGATTAATGTTTACTTGTAAATAAAGTTTAACAAGCTCTTTATGAACTTTTTGTAGCGTCAAAGTGGTAGTCAAGGTTGCCAGGTCTGCAAAACAAAATCAGCCCAACTGCTATTCAAAACTAGCCCAATCGTGTTTTTCCGCTCTGTGGAAATAGTGTTCCAGTGGGTGGGGGAGATTGCTTTAAACTGTGGACTAAAAAACAACCCGCAGCAACGGTGTAAAAGTAGCCCAATTTTGCAGTAGTCCCTCACTGCAGTACACAAGATCCAGGGGGCGTGGTTGGATCCACATCTAGGGGGTGGAGATGGGTAGGTTTAGGGGTGGAGATTGGTGGGTTTAGGGGTGGAGATGGGTGGGTTTAGGGGTGGAGATGGGTAGGTTTAGGGGTGGAGATGGGTAGGTTTAGGGGTGGAGATGGGT